ACACACACACACACACACACACACACACATATATACACACAAACGTGCGCGCGCGCGTACACAAATACGCAAACACTCACATAGAAATCCGCCCGCGCATATTCACACACACAAAAAGAAACAATCATACACTTTCACACGATTACACACACAGTAACACTAACACCGTAACACATACACACACAGGCAAAAACAAAGAAAAAAAAGAGTCAAAACAAAATAACATCGCCATGCGTAGCCATCTTTTCCTTCACCGAGTACCTACGCAAAGACACGCGAGATAGTTAACGATGCTCTCGAAAACAGGAAACAAGAGAGACAACAACTGCGTAATGTAGAGTCGTTTTGCGTGAGTGACTGGCACATAGCGTGACTCGCTAGATTTATCGATTTTTTTTTACTGTTTTTCTTTTTTCCTTTTTCCTTATTTTTGGGGGGCCATTTACTCACACGAGGATCATATGAGACTCGCTGTCATGCCGAGAGGAAATTCACTTCAAAATATGACAGGAGAGAGTGGAGAGAGTACGGCAGTGAGAGGGAGAAAAACAAGTAGATAGGCATGAGTTGGAGAATAGATAGAGGGAGAGAGAAAGTCGTAAGAAAAAGGAAAGAATCAAGAGGAGGGAAAGAGAGAGAGAGAAAGAGGGAGGCGGAGGACAGATAAAGAAGAGAAAAAGAGATAGAGATACAGAAAGAGAGATAGAGAGTTCAGAAATTTAAAGATAAATGTAATTCGCATTGATGCCAAAAAAAATAAAGTTTCCGTTCGCGTAATACACTTTCATCTTCCTTTTCTCAAGAGCGTGATATAAAGTACTACAACAGATCACTGGGTATCAGCCACTGGAATAAATACAGATTATAGTAAAACACAGAATACCAGAATTAAATGGATGTAGTATAATTATAGAAAATAACAACAATCTAAAAGAATAGCTTGGATATGTGAGCAAATATACCTGTACATTTACTGAATATGCAGGTGTTTATGCATCCACGTGTATACACAGGAGGAGGAGGAGGAGGAAGAGGATAATATTAATAATAATAGTAGTAGCAACTATTATTATTATTATTATTATTGTTGTGGTTGTTGTTGTTATTATTATTATTATTGTTGTTGTTATTATTATCATTATCATTGTTATTATTATTATTATTATTATTATTATTATTATTATTATCATTATTATTATTATTATCATCATTATTATTATCATTATTATTGTTATTATTATTATTATTATTATTATCACTGCTATTACTACTACTACTATTGTTATAATAACAAAAACTATGATTATATTCTTAAACATTGACTTCAACAAAGTCGGTAAAGGCCATACATATTTTTTTTTCTCTCTGAATGAGCATTAACAGTCCATTCATTCATAAACAATTGTCAGAAATGAATGAAAGGTCATTAATGATCGTTCGAAAGTGACTATAAAAAATATACAATATATATATTTTTTTTTAACTAATGGACTGATCGATGTAATGAGAGAGAAAGGACTGTGAGTGGATAGAGATGAGTTTGATAATAACAAATGTAATGAGAATGAGTTTCAGAATTCGGTTTAATGAGAGTAAGGTTAATGAGACGTAGACGGCGACGCGTAAGAATGATATCATGATGAGAGATCACTTTTTTTTAGGCACTTTGTCAAAATTATATAAGCCTGTCGTCGCCTTGTTCGATTACGTTTCGTCTCATTCCGACTTGTTCGATTCCTTGCGCGAGGGACTGCTGTCTTATCGACGCGCCTCTTTTCTCTTTTTCTCTTTTCCCTTCTTTCTTTTCTCTCTCGTCCTCTTCTTGCTTTTTTTTCATTTTGGATTTCTCCTCTTTTCTTCTCTTCTCTCTTTCTCTGTTCCAAGGAATCTCTTTCTCTCTCTCTTCTCTCTCTCTCTCTCTCTCTCTCTCTCTCTCTCTCTCTCTCTCTCTCTCTCTCTCTCTCTCTCTCTCTCTCTCTCTCTCTCTCTCTCTTTCTCACCTTCCCTCCTTCCATCTCTTCCTTCCATTCTCTTTCTCTTCCTCTTCCTTTCGTTTTCCCTCTAATTCCTTGCTTGCTCATTTTTTCTTTCTCGCAAATAGTAATGATAAACGGCAATCATAAAAAACAAACTGGATAAAAAACATTTGTTAAAAATAATCATCCTTGCCGATGGCGTCCGTGCCTTTATGGTCGGCTTGCGTCGAAAGGAAAAAAAGACACAAAATATATATATGCTTCTTCCTTTCAATTCGTCTCCGCCTCCGTCGTCATTAGCGAATATAATTGCGAAATCAATCAGTAGTGAAGATATAATGTGGATAATTCAGCTTTTGTTGGTGTGATGGCGGTTGCTAACGAGACGGAACGAAAGCGCGCCGAAAGTGCTTCTATCTCTCTTCCTTTCGTTTTGTTTTGTCTGTTATTTATTCAGTTATTTCTTTGTCTGCTTAAATGGTGTGGGGATTTATGATAAGAGCTGTGCAAAAAATTATATTAAAGAAAATGGAAAGATCTGTAGGCCTATACCTATGCACTATACTTATTTACTTTTTTTTTATTTCTCTGCCAGTTTTGTCAAAAGAATGTTTTAGACTTTCAATATTAGATTTAAAAAAGTGAAATGATAAAACACTCAAGTGGTTACGAAGCTCGGTTATACCTTTCACATTAAATAAAGATGTGCTAAATTTTGCATGAACGACCGCGGGGTTACTTAGTTTTGGTTATTTGCGAGGTGAATGTTCCAGCTCAACAGTTCTTATATATGCACGATTTCCTACTTCTGGTTGCGAATTTTAAATGGATGAATAGAACTGATCAGTTTACCTTCTTTTTTACAACTCTTTGAAAGCGTTTCTGTACGTGAGTCGAAACTTTGCGTGCTTTTGTAGCTTTACTAAACGACATCATTGCAAGCACCCGAGACTAAAGATTACCATTTTACGTTTGACTTAAACAACTACTTTCATCCAGACACGGAAGTAAAAGTCTCCACAGAAAGAATAACCACAAAGCCTTAACGTTCGAAGTATATTATATAAATCTGAATTCTTTAGTGTAGTTTTTCCCCGTTTTCTATACAAAGTAAATGTTAACCGCAGCTAAATATGTTAAGTAAAATTGTTAAAACGAGCGGAATGCTGTCTAGACTTTGGCTTCCTGGTGATGAAATGATAGAGAAGAAGGAAATATAATAATTCATAGAGAAACTGACCGTAGAACGTCACTGACAGACTGACAAAAAATCGTGAACTTCGCTAAAAATAGTTACCCCTAAATCAGAGCACCACCCCATAATCCGGCATTCAGAAATCCGAATCCGAATCCGAAATACCTTTTTGATCTTACTCACAAATACACAAATCAACAAATTAATGCATTTAGTAAAAAGACCTTAGAAATGATAAAAAATAACATGAAAAATAGCATACATAAGATCCCGGATATATATGTATATATGTACTGTATATCTATGTATATCTGAAAGTTCCTAGGCAGTTTATCAAAGATAGACAGATAGAGAGACAGGAAGACAGACAGACAGATGGACGGACAGACAGACAGGCAGTAACAGACGGAAAGCGACAGACAGGCAGTAACAGACGGAAAGAGACAGACAGACAGACAGACAGACTGACAACCAAACGAGAAGAGCAGAGAAGAGAGAAGAGAAAGAGAGGAGTAAGGGACAGCAGAGACACTAACACCCTAACCCCCTAACCCTCTAACCCCCTAACCCCCTAACCCCGAGCTTGTTCCCCTTACAGATGGCGGCGACGACGCGCGCCGTGGCCCTGGCCCTGGTGCTGGCCCTGCTCGCGGACGCCGGTGGGGCCATCTTCTTCCCCCGCGGCAGCAGGACGAGATCTCGGCCTAAGTGTGTGCCTAAGACGCACTACGAGACGGTGGTTCAGGAGGTGAGAAGAGGGTGAGGGAGGGAGAGAGAAAGAGAGAGGGAGAGAGAGAGAGAGAGAGAGAGAGAGAGAGAGAGAGAGGGAGGGAGGGAGGGAGGGAGGGAGGGAGAAAGAGAGGGAGGGAGGGAGGGAGGGAAAGAGAGAGAGAGGGAGAGGGAGAGAGAGGATGAGAGGGAGAGAGAGAGAGAGAGAGGGAGGGAGGGAGGGAGGGAAAGAGAGAGAGGGAGAGAGAGAGAGAGAGAGAGAGAGAGAGAGAGAAAGAGAGAGAAAGTGAGTCTGGTGCTTCAGCTTTTCTTCGACTTACGTCTTTCTATAGTTTTTCATTTTTTTCTCTCGTTGTTGCCATCATGTTTGGATATTATTGTTACATCCCTCATTTGGTTATTTTGAATAGGGCTTATGGTTTGAATTTCCCTCTCTGATTACTTAATAGGAATAATATCTGGTTTTAGCTGTAATCATATACATATTCTGCGCGCGCGTGTGTGTGCATATATACTTGCATAAGAACTAACCTGTCCTTCCCCGATTGGACTCACCCCCCCCCCCCCGCCAAAAAAAAAAAAAAAATCACCCCCTCCCTGAACCACACCCTCTCTCCCTCTCCCACAGCAACCCGTATACCACACCGTAACAGAGACGCGCAACGTACCTACCACCCACTACCAGACGGTCTCCCGGACGGTGAACCAGGTGCAGGTGTCCACGCAGCTGGTGCCGGATTACTTCACCACCACCAGGTACCGCACGCAGGTGTCCACGAAGACCGTCACCACCACGGAGTTCGAGGTGAAGGTGAGGCCTGTCTACGTCACCACCACCGCCTTCGCCCCGTCCTACGTCACCACCACCGAGGTCTCCTTCTGGTACCAGACCGTCACCAAGACGCAGAAGGATTATGTCACCGTCACCGAGCAGGCGGACTGCGGAGGAGGAGGGGGAGGGTATGGTGGAAGCGGTGGAGGTGGAGGAAGTGGAGGAGGAGGTTATGGTGGAAGCGGTGGAGGTGGAGGAGGAAGTGGAGGAGGAGGTTATGGTGGAAGCGGTGGAGGTGGAGGAGGAAGTGGAGGAGGAGGTTATGGTGGAAGTGGTGGAGGAAGTGGAGGAGGAGGGGGAGGGTATGGCGGAAGCGGTGGAGGTGGAGGAGGAAGTGGAGGAGGAGGAGGGGGTTATGGTGGAAGTGGAGGAGGAAGTCTAGGAAGTGGAGGAGGAGGAGGAGCTTACGGTGGAAGTGCAGGAGGAAGTGGAAGTGGAGGAGGAGGAGGTTACGGTGGAAGTGGAGGAGGAAGTGGAGGTGGGGAGGTGGAGGAGGAGGTTATGGCGGAAGTGGAGGAGGAAGTGGAGGTGGAGGAGGAGGAGCTTACGGTGGAAGTGGAGGAGGAAGTGGAGGTGGAGGAGGAGGAGGTTACGGTGGAAGTGGAGGTGGAGGAGGAAGTGGAGGTGGAGGAGGAGGAGGTTACGGTGGAAGTGGAGGAGGAAGTGGAGGTGGAGGAGGAGGAGGAGCTTACGGTGGAAGTGGAGGAGGAAGCGGAGGTGGAGGAGGGGGAGGAGCTTACGGTGGAAGTGGAAGTGGAGGAGGAAGTGGAGGTGGAGGAGGAGGAGCTTACGGTGGAAGTGGAGGAGGAAGTGGAGGTGGAGGAGGAGGAGGAGCTTACGGTGGAAGTGGAGGAGGAAGTGGAGGTGGAGGAGGAGGAGCTTACGGTGGAAGTGGAGGAGGAAGTGGAGGTGGAGGAGGAGGAGGAGCTTACGGTGGAAGTGGAGGTGGAGGAGGAGGAGGAGCTTACGGTGGAAGTGGAGGAGGAAGTGGAGGAGGAGGAGGAGGTTATGGTGGAAGTGTAGGTGCAGGAGGAAGTGGAGGTGGAGGAGGAGGAGGTTACGGTGGAAGTGGAGGTGGAGGAGGAGGAGCTTACGGTGGAAGTGGAGGAGGAAGTGGAGGTGGAGGAGGAGGAGCTTACGGTGGAAGTGGAGGAGGAAGTGGAGGTGGAGGAGGAGGAGGAGCTTACGGTGGAAGTGGAGGAGGAAGTGGAGGTGGAGGAGGAGCTTACAGTGGAAGTAGTGGAGGAAATGGAGGAGGAGGAGGAGGTTACGGTGGAAGTGGAGGAGGAAGTGGAGGAGGAGGAGGAGGTTACGGTGGAAGTGGAGGAGGAAGTGGAGGTGGAGGAGGAGGAGGTTACGGTGGAAGTGGAGGAGGAAGTGGAGGTGGAGGAGGAGGAGGTTACGGTGGAAGTGGAGGAGGAAGTGGAAGTGGAGGAGGAGGAGGTTACGGTGGAAGTGGAGGAGGAAGTGGAGGTGGAGGAGGAGGAGGTTACGGTGGAAGTGGAGGTGGAGGAGGAGGTGGAGGAGGAGGAGGATCTTACGGTGGAAGTGGAGGAGGAAGTGGAGGTGGAGGAGGAGGAGATTACGGTGGAAGTGGAGGAGGAAGTGGAAGTGGAGGAGGAGGAGGTTACGGTGGAAGTGGAGGAGGAGGTGGAAGTGGAGTAAGTGGAGGAGGAGGAGGTTATGGAGGAAGCGGAGGTGGAAGTCTAGGAAGTGGAGGAGGAGGAGGAGGTGGAGGAGGTTACTGGGTAATTGGAGGTGGAAGCGGAGGAGGAGGAGATTATGGCGGAAGTGGAGGCGGAGGAGGAGGGGGAAGTGGAGGTTATGGCGGAGGTGGAAGCGGTGGAGGCGGAGGAGGAGCAGGTCTTGGTGGAGGAGGAGGATATGGTGGAGGAGACGGCGGCCAGGGCGCGCCTTCGTCCGTATACGGCCCGCTTCTGGCGCAGTCAGTCTACATCGCGCCCTCAGTGCAGGAATCCTACAGTGCCCCAGATGCCCCGCAGGCTTCCTATGGCCAACCAGAGCAGTCCTACAGCCCGCCCCAGTCAGCCGCCCCCCAAGCGTCCTATAGCCCTCCGGCCAACGACCTCTCCGCCTCCTACAGCCCCCCGCAGTCCGCCCCACAGCAATCCTATAGCGCCCCACAGTCCACTCCACAGCAGTCCTATAGCGCCCCACAATCCACTCCACAGCAGGCCTATAGCGCCCCACAGTCCGCCCCACAGCAGTCCTATAGCGCCCCGCAGTCCGCCCCACAGCAGTCCTACAGCGCGCCGCAGGACTCCATGGGGCCAGGGTACGAGAGGGACACCTTCGGGACTTTCGTCACAGGCAGCATCGGGCCATCCTTCGCCGTGTTCGACGATCCCTTCGGCATCTTCCAGGACGACGCAGGAACCGGCTCCTCGTACTCCAAGAAGCGAGAGGCGCCGAAGGAGGTGGCCCCGAAAGCCAAGAAGGAGGAGGAGGTAAAAGAGAAAGAGGAGGCGAAAGAGGAAGAGGAAAAGGAGGAAGAGGAGAAGGAAGAAACGAAGAAAACGAGCAGCGGGAAACCTGTCGGCTACGGAGTGACGCGCCTCAAGGGGAAAAGGATTGAGAAATGAGCTCGACACTCCTTATAATTCTGCAATCCAAGTCCTACATTCCAGCAATCCTGCAACCTGACTCCATCGCCAGGAACTAACCATAGGATTCTTCTTGTGTTCCTTTAGATTGCCTTTAGATAGGCGTCCGTTTCCTCAGATCAAATACTTAAAAGGTTAGCGCCATTTCCCTTTAGCCTATCGAACCCAAAAATTAAATTTACCTTTTCCCTAGAGTATTCCGAGAACCGTTAGTGGTAAGCAACTCTTCGTTATCATAACTAAAAGAGGGAAATTTGGGTTTTACTTCTGGTAATTATAACAATATCGAGAAATTTATATAAATAATTATGTCTCTAGCAGTATCTGATAACTACGCAGCAGCCTCATTGGTTAATCAGGATGATGTCATTAGCTCCGCCTCCTTTATAACCTTGTCATACTTAGCGATAAAATGGTGTTTAATCAATATTTCTTTGAAAATAGTTCAGTAATGACAATGGTAACCAAAATATTCGAAAAAGGAACTAGCAAAATGATATATTGAAATAACTTTTCATGTTTTTTTTTTGTTGTTTTTTTAATGAATGAAGGCAAAGGGGCGGGTTTTAGTCTGACAGTTGCTAACTAGACTTTTCATAAAGACGGAGTGGTCCTACCTGTGTTAAAGTAGTGGTATGATTGTTATTGTTTAGCATATTTTCTTAGTATTTTTGATGCTATTGTCGATATCATTATCATCACTAGCATCGTTATTATTATCATTACTATTATTATTGTTATCACAATTATTATTATCATTGTCATTATTATTATTATTACTATTGTTATTATTATAACTGTTATTAATATTATCCTTATTTTCATTATATCACTGTTATCATTATTATTGTCATCAGGTTGATTATCAATATTATTTTCATTATTATAATTTTACCATTATCTTTATATTCATTTTTATCATTATTATCATTATTATCATTGTCAATATCATTATAATTATTATCATTATCATTATTGTTATTATTGTTATTATTGCCATTATTATTATTATTATTATTACTGTTATCAATATCATAATTATTACTATAACTATTATTGCCGTCATTATTATTATTATTATTATTATTATTATTACTATTATCATTATTGTTATTACAGTTATTATCATTATTATTATTATTGTAATAAACTATTATTATCATTATTATAACAGTATTTTCATGTAAAATAGGTACTGTATATAGTTTCTTTGGGAATTTCACCAGGATAGTCTGTTTGTTGTAGCTCCATTTGTTATACCCAAAGCTTGTTTCTGTATAAAGCTATATACATATATATATACATATAATGTGAAACTGTTATTCTTTCTTTCATGTGAATAAACACTCATGAGCTGGGAAATCTCAGTAACACATGACCTATCAATAGGCTTTTTATTTTTGAACTGTATTTTGCACCTGTGTGTTGTTCAGGTTAGGCTAGCGTATAGCCTGTGCTCAATAAATGTTTTCCTTTATAGGTGGTGTTTTTCTTCATTTTTCCCGTTACCTTCGCCTTAAGGACATTTTTATTGATATATCCGTTTTGTTGTTGATAATTTTTTTGTTCTTGTTGTTGCTGCTGATGCTTTTGTTATTGTTATCGTTGTGTTTTGTTTTGTTTTTGTTTTTGGTTGTATTGTTATTTTGATTTTTTGTTTATGCTTTTGTTATTATCGTTGTTTTTATTTTGTTTTTGTTTTTTTTGTTTTGTTTTTGCTGTCGTATTTTTACTTTGTCGTTGCTGCTGATGCTTTTGTTGTTATTGTTATCGTTGTTGTTGTTTTCTTAGCTGTCTTATTTTTATCTTGTTGGTGTTTTTGTTGTTGTTATCGTTGTTTTTACTTTTGCTGTTCCCTCTGTTGTTGCTATTGCTGTTATTGCTGTGTCTTTGTTGGAATTCGGCAACAGCAATATATCAATGACGAACGCATCTGTATAAATGGCGTTTTATCACTATATTTATTAAATTGAATTCATTAGCTTTACCTTTAACATTATCGAAAAGGTTGACCAACAGGTAAACTGCATGAATGTCACGGATCAGTACGAAAATTATATCACAAACAAACATGATACTGACATGTTTATAATAGTTAATTCTAGCAGTTTGTTATTGCAAAATATTTAAAAGTAACCGGATAGTTTTTGTCGTTAAGCAACAACAAAGGCATTTAAAGCGTATTTAGGAAACAGCTGGATGAAATATTACGTGAAACTTATTATAGTAATGGTAATTGTAATGGCGATGATCATAATGTGGATGATAATGATAATAACAATAAAGATAATAATGATATCGATAACAACGGTAATTATAAGAGTGATGATAATAATGATAGTGAGGATGATGATAATAATAATATCAATAATAATAACAGCACTGATAATAACAACGCCAACAACAAAACAACAATAATGACAATAATAATAATACTAATATTAACAATAATAATGATAAGCAGAAGAAAAAGAAGATTAAGAATGTGAATACTGTGATAGTGATAGTGATGATGATGATGATGATGATCGCGATGCAGAGCATAACTATTTAAGACCTATATAATTATAAGTATATAAGCACTTATAATAGCCCTTGGGTTCAGTGGCGTTCTTTTTGGAAATCCCTCGGAAGCGCACCACGGGAAACGCCGTCAAAGGAGTTATCACACAAAACCAACATTTATTTTCCTTTTTTTATTGTTTACTTTTTAAAAATCAGTATTAATAATTTCCCTTACTTTTATTATTACATTTGTAGTACAAGAAATACATGTATTGGTAAAACTGAAATAGACTGTGTGTATGAGAGTGTGTGTGTGTGTGTGTGCGTATGTGTGTGTGTGTGTGTATGTGTGTGTGTGTGTGTGTGTGTGTGTGTGTGTGTGTGTGTGCGTGTGCGTGTGCGTGTGTGTGTGTGTGTGTGTGTGTGTGTGTGTGTGTGTGTGTGTGTGTGTGTTTGTGTGTGTGTGAGACAGAGAGAGAGGGAATGCGAGTATACGCACATGAGTCTTGCAGTGATGTGCAATACAAAGAGATGGATAAATGAAATGTCCTCTGCTCTGTAAATAAAATGGCAAAGCTACAGTATCTTCTGTATTTGACGTATGTATCCAGCTTCCGTATTACAAGGTTATGTTTTATTTCGTAACAATAATAACTGTTATAATAATCTTAATTCAAACTGTATTGCGAAAACCCATTTACGGCGAGTATACTAATTTGCAGATTCATACAATAATGTCCAGTTTATAAAATGTTCCTCGGACAGTTTAAACGCAAGCAAATTAATCGACAAATAAAAAAGAATTCAAAGCAAAACCGAACCATAAAAAAAATAAAAATAAATAAATAGTTTCTTGATTTTTATCTAGGCTCGGTGTCTCTTCTCTACGTGTCTCCTTAAAAAGCGAGTTAGAAATATATATATATATATATATATATATATATATATATATATATATATATATATATATATATATATATATATATATATATATATATATATATATATATATATATATATATATATATATATATATATATATATATATATATATATATATATATATATATATATATATATATATATATATATATATATATATATATATATATATATATATATATATATATATATATATATATATATATATATATATATATATATATATATATATATATATATATATATATATATATATATATATATATTTTTTTATGTCAATTTATACTTCATATTTCAGTCTTTCGTTCTAATTCCCTTCTGAGTATTTCTTCTTTTTTTTCATTACTGTAATTTTTATTTTAATGTTTTTAGATTTCCTTTTATTTTCATATTGATTTTTTATTTACCATCTTTATCTGATTTTCTTAAATTATTTTTTTATTTTTAAATAGTCTGGAATATTTTCAGAAGGTAGAATTTGTTTTATTACTGAATATAAAGACATGGAAATGAATAGGAATAAAGTTGACTTCATTATATTTCAGTTATTAATCACTTAAAATTCATGTGCGTAACTGTACTTAAAACATTAATATTTAGGGAAAGAATAGCTACTAGCAGTCAATGTCAGCATTATTATGAAAAAAAAAAATCCAATCATAACAAATCAAATCCCCAAATGAAATCCCCAAAATTGTTTTAGGCTCAGCGTCTCTGTAATCATCAAACCGAATTTCACTCCCTTTTATTAAACCTAAAAAAATACCATAAAAATGCTCATAAAAATTCAATCGTAACAAATCAAATCCAAAAATGAAAACCCGAAATTGTTTTAGGCTCGGTGTCCCTCCCCCCTGCAGACGCCGCTATGATGGAGGAAAACAAAACCTCCAAAAATGATACCGTCGGCCTATTTTTGCGTGCTATGGGTAAGTCACGTGGATAAACGAGTCATAGATCAGTGAAAAAGCATCGAGGGAATAACGAAGCATTCTCTAGTCCGAGGAGGAGGCCTTGGAGGACGACCTTCGAGGAGGAAATGAGGATTTCAGGGGCGCGGTGGTTTTGACTTGGGGCCGCTGGGGGACACGGGAGGGATTTTTTTCTCTCTCTCTTTACGTCCTGTATTTCTCGCCTGGTGTTTATTCAAGGTTATTTCTCGCCTGGTGTTTATTTCCGGTTATTTCTCGCCTGGTGTTTATTTCCGGTTATTTCTCTGCTGGTGTTTATTTCCGGGAGGGTTTTTCGGCGAGTGGGGAAGAGGCTAGCGATTTCTGAGGAGGAATTAGAAAGGAGAGTGAGAAAGTTTTGCGATTTGGAATATTCTCAATATTATTATTATTAAAGGATTCTTTGTGGCTTTTGAGTGATGTTTTGCTCGTTTCCTGTTTTGTCCTTATTTTAATTTTTTTTTATTTTTTTTTATCTGTATTTTTGCTTTGTTATTGTTCTTTTTTGTATATATAATTTTTTTTTTATGTCAATTTTACACTTCATATTTCAGTGTTTCGTTCTAATTCCCTTCTGAGTATTTCTTCTTTTTTTTCATTACTGTAATTTTTATTTTAATGTTTTTAGATTTCCTTTTATTTTCATATTGATTTTTTATTTACCATCTTTATCTGATTTTCTTAAATTAATTTTTTTATTTTTAAATAGTCTGGAATATTTTCAGAAGGTAGAATTTATTTTATTGAATTAATTTTTTATTTTAGAGAGTCTGGAATATTTTCAGAAGGTAGAATTTGTTTTATTACTGAATATAAAGACATGGAAATGAATAGGAATATAGTTGACTTCATTATATTTCAGTTATTAATCACTTAAAATTCATGTGCGTGACTGTACTTAAAACATTAATATTTAGGGAAAGAATAGCTACTAGCAGTCAATGTCAGCATTATTATGAAAAAAAAAAATCTCAAAAGAAATCACCAAAGACATTCTATTCATATATATATTAATGGCTTGTAAAAGTACAAGGCTTTCATATCTGCGTAAGTTTGAATCAATGACAATAATACGAACTACTTTCACGTGACCTGATTGTGCCGCAGAGCTTGAGAATGTCATTTCAGTCCACATTCTTTTATGTAAATTCTCAACATTTTCATCCCCTATTGCCAGTCACCCCCATGTAACCAGCTTCCCCATTTCAGTGGATCGAGAACCGGGCAAGAGGAAAGTCAAACCGTCGAAAGCCGCGCTGATTGACTTGGCGGAATTGGACCTGGGAGAGAGCTCGGACGACAGCGATTTCAATGTGGACGAGGCCAAGTTGAACGACGACGATGACATTTCGATCAACAGCGACCCCGATGCGCCGGACATTGACGATGATGACAATGAGGATGTGGAGGATGAGGAGGAGAGTGAGGAGGAGGTTGAAGCACCTCCGATCAGCGAGAAGGATATGACAGTCACGCAGCTCCTGGAGCAGGCCAAGAAGAAACAGGCTCTTGAACTTGAAAAAGTAAGTTTTGATGTTTAATCACTAAATGCCACTAAATGCCCAGTGAGTCTTAATCAGCTTCCAAGAGCTTTGTTTATTTGTGGTGAGTCATTCCTATCACTCCAGCCATCAACTCAAAATTCTCATCACAGCAAGTTCCCATCACCCTGACTCTCAGCCAAATTTTCCCATGACAGTATGTTCAAGCTAAGTTTTTTCATTCACATCATCTGGATCATAGGTTTTAAAAAGGGTGCCTAGAGTGAATGAAGCACTCATTCTGGGAAAGGACAATAAATTTTTTTGCCTTACATATTCTGGCAAGAAAGAGGCTGTAAATTTCCTTGGTAATTGATCATCAGAGAAGGAACCAGTCCCTGTCTTTCCAGAAAAGGTTTAGGTTAATCTTTACAGTATGGGTGCACTAATCTAGGACAAATTGAAGATATGCTTGTAGAAGACAAAAAGTTGTGTTTGCTGGTACAACAGTGAATTTGCAGACACAAACACTAATGCCACAAATAAAGGAAAAATACTGCGGAAAGTGCCGCTCACAGCCTAAGTCAACTTAGTGCTCATGCGTTTTAGTTCTATCTTGTCATGCATACAAGGTGAAGACAATGTTTCCCAGGGGGTTTTAGGAGGGCAGAGCCCCCAATCACCCCTCCTCTCGGGTAGAGTACACCCAATCACAACAATTCTGATTCCTGAATAAAGTATGTTTGTGTAGTTGGGGACTTTAAAGTGCTTTAAAGAATTACTGAGGTTTCTTGGCTGTTGAAATGTTGAGACTGGGATAACTTGATGCAGCCTAGTTCTAGAAAATTACCATTTTTACTTGTTCATACATATGTATCATTGTTATGTATGGATATGTGCAGAAATTTCCTTTAATGCCTTTTTTTTTTCTCAACCTTCCCAGGGCATAGAGCGCCCCAAGATCTTGGTGTGTGCTGTGTGCCTAGGAGACCACTCAGATGACCTCAATGAAATTGTGACGTGTGACGGCTGCAGTGTGTCAGTGCACGAGGGTTGCTATGGCATTAGCGACTCCATCTCAGTGTCAAGCACAGTGTCATCCAGCTCAACAGAACCCTGGTTCTGTGATGCGTGTAAGGCTGGGGTTGACAACCCTCCTTGTGAACTCTGCCCTAATTTAGGTCAGTGTTCTGCAGGTAATATTTCGAGCTTGGGGTGAGGCCTATAGGTTGGCCCAACGCCCTCCGTTTGTAGAACTTCAGTAGTTCTTCTGATTACCCTATTGGCTCTTTTCCATTGGCATTGCTATATCCATCATCACTATCACTGTAATGGTATCCTAATTATCTTCATAGTTTTGATCATTATCATCATCACAACTACCATCATCTTTATATCTTTTTTGAGGAGATTCCCTTTTTAGAAGCCTCTTTATATGATCTTCAAAAGGCTGTTGAGAAAGTCAACAAATTTTGCCTTCTTGTATCTTTTTAGATATTGTAGATTAGTCTTCTGATCTTTATTTTCTTTCTTTTTATCAATAGAAACTGATTTTGAATAGAGTGTTTGATTTATAATTGACTTTTTTCTGGCTATTAATAAGTGCAATGCAGAAAATATGTGGGAATTCTACCAGTTTACTGTTTTACAGGGTACACGATATTCAAAGAGACTGAGATGGGTCGTTGGGTCCATCTTGTATGTGCACTTTACATCCCAGGTGTTGCATTTAGTGAGGTAAGTGATGTCATAATTCATGTGTACAT